GTGGGTTGTGAGATGATGCGTTGTCTACTGTAGGATGAGGAGGACGAGCCTTTCCTCACTTGCCATCCGTGAGTTGAAGTTGCATAGCCACTCTGAAAACAAGGCCATGGTCATCCAGGCCTTGCGATTATAGTGGTACAGCAACCCCAATTCTTGGCTAGTCAAGCCTCTGAAACAACGCGGCTTCTTGGCTTTCCCAATGAACATTGGCTGCAATTTGTCGGTCCCGTCAGCGTTCGTGGCAAGGGCAACTGATATCCGGTTCTTGTCTTGCTTTGGCCCCACCTCGGTTGATCGGCGATTGTTGTACGTGGTTGTGAGTTGTAAAAAACTCCGGTTTCATCCATATTGTAGATGTCCGAAGGGGAGAAACGTCGGGTGATATCTTGGACCGTGGCGCAGTCGTTTGCGACGGTTGTGGGACTTGCAGACGCGGCTTCTCCGTGAAGACTGTACATTTTCAAGTTGTGGCGAATTTTAAGTCGGTATAACCACCCATTTAAGCAACTAACGCATCCACTTAGGTTCAGTTTTGTCACGATGCGCTGGCCCGCCCTGAGGATCAGTTCGCCCATGCAAACTAATTTCGAAATGTTTGTGGTTGTCAACCTGGGGTCATTGCCGCCTCATGTTTGAATTTTCAAACGGAGCAGCCATGTCAAAAGGCCCTCAAAAATTTGATATCAAATAGAATTTTGTAGGGTATAAGTTTATACCAGGGAGCAAACGTTGAGGGATCACTGTGTGCTGGTTGATCAAATATATGTCGACCAAAATGTCTAAACAACATCGACGTCTGCACCAACGGCAACTCCCTCTCGCACTTGTCAACGGAAAGGGCCCGCCATTGCAATGTGTATCGCTGCAACAGCGCCATTGCCAGCAAACAGTGCATCTCTAATGGATACAACATATCTTTCCTGTATCCCCGCATGTGCTGAGCCTCATGGTACGTATGACAGGGGAGGGGAGATCGCATATAAGTACTGATTTCCACCCGACTTTTACATGGTCGCTATATGTCGACAGTTCAGTGTCAAGAATGCCAGTCCGATTCTAGCAGTTAACAACTGTCGCTTGTGTCACCGACCGCCAGACCTTCTTTGCCCAAGACATTGCCTCCACCAAAGGTACCTCGTAGAGACCATCTTGTCTACCAGCCATCACAGAATCAATCTGTTGCAGGGCGTTCTGCACTTGAAGCTGTTTCACTCTCGCCTTGAACGAAGCAATGATGCCAGCGTCCTGGGGCTGCAGGTGAGCTTTTTCACCTTCACATTGGTCAATAGGACTCATCGTCGGGTCGATGTGGTGGCGCGTTGTCGACCAGAAAATGAACATTTCGGTTCTCGGAAAGCATCCCCTGGTTCATCTGCAGCAGGTACGTGTAGAAAATCCCACTGGTCATCCATCCTTTTTTGCTCGATAGGTAATTGAAGCCAAGGTCAGCGGCCGCAACACCGTTGAAGCACCGCGGTCGGGCAGCAGTGCCAATGAAAAGCAGATCGACGACGTCCGAACCGGCAGCATTGGTGGTAAGTGCAATCGTGATTCGATTTTTTTACTTTTTCGTCCCTGGTTGTCGGTTGCTTGCGATTGCACGATGTAGGGATAGACAGTAAAAGTACGACGTATCATCCATGCTGTAGGTGTTGTGAGCACTGTAGCCACCGGTGGCTGCCGTCATTTCTTGACGGCCCTCGGCGGCGACAGCAGGGGACACAGAGGCAGCCTCTTCATGCTGCACTTTGCTCGTAAGTCCATGCTTGACTTGGAACTTATTTAACCATTCCTTAGTGAA